TGAGTCTTTGCTTAGTTTTGCACACTTTTATTAGCACTCTGTCCTCTTCATATAATTGCCATCTCCGTTTATATTTTTTGAAAAGCAGCAAATGATGCCACTATCAGCTGCTTCTAATTAACCTCCCCTGACTGTGTTTGTAAATGACTCAGCACCTGGACTTCTTAAAGTGGTCAGGTCATTTTGAATCACAACCAAATAAAATCACATAAAACTACTCTGAAGTTCAGCACCAACATTTCTTCCCGAAGCTTTGTTTCTAGAGTTCAAAATGATCATGCTAGAGCCTTTGCTATGAACTTTTAAAAAATATCTGGGCCACAAGTTATAAGCCAGTCAATCTAGGAAAATGGTTCATAGTGTTTTCCAGTATGAGAAGCCCTTTAAATAATATTAAAAACATTCTGAAGTACATTGATGATGATTGTGGTTGGACATCTAATATTCACTGAACAAACACATATACATTGTTGTGTGGGAAATTTAAAATAGGAATGTAAGTGAGCTCTTTTGGCTTTTTTCCAAACTCCAGAGCTAAATCTGAAGACGCGTAGTAGATATCAAGATGAGACATACCTCCATATATCTGGGAATGCCTTATTACCCTCTCAAGATTGCTGAGATCTCTAAAAGCCACTATCTCTGAATATGAGTGGAGAGTTCCTTGGCTAGGTCATTCCCCTCCTTCCTATTATGGTGTTTTGGGGAGGAAGTGAAAGATGGCAAGACACCTTAAGCGAAAGCCTGTTAGGAATATGTGAACAAGTTTGATTCTGGGGCTGTCTTTATTATCTCAGGACCCTAAGAGGTCATGAGTTCTAAGGAAAAAGAGGATTCTGCTAGTGGCAGCATGAATATAATTTTGAGAAACCTTGCAATAGTTCCATATTCTCCCAGGTACTTGCCACCAAGTTTGGGGAACAATGACCCAGGGTTACATGAAGACTATATATACAAAAAAATACATCTTAGTTATCGTGGTAGGTGGGTGTAATGATAGGAAGAGAAAGAGGTCAAAAACACTGACAGAATTCCAGAATTGTTCCCTAGTTTTGGGATTTAATGGATTTGTGGATTAAGTCCAGGATGAGGTGAGACCTCTGAAAGCTGTCTATATAACCACATCCTGTACTTGCTCAAAATCACATGCCAGGAAAATCTTATGAGATAAATCCATATTAGAGCTCTACAGATTTCAGGTGAGGGTTAGTCCCACAAATTTTCTCTTGGGATAGGTAATTTGGAGAGAAATGCATTATTAGCTGTTCACAATACAGCTTGAGGTGCTAATGTCCAAATCACAGGAGAATCAGCCCTATAGAACATTTGGCAAAGTATACAAAATTCCAAAAAGTCTAATACTTAATGAAAAAAAATTTTTTTTTGTTGGCTAGAAACCAAAATGAGCTATTACACAACAATTACAATGAAATATATCAAGTTATTCTATTTGTAATAAATACCTAGTTTTAGTATTAGTGGAAGAAAATACTAGCAATTAACCAAAGAGACATTAAGATGGTAGAAAGTTCATTAAAAAGTAACTTATATTGGTCTGATTTAAACTTAATGTCAACTAAGACTATTATGGTAAAAGGTGACTTTCTAAGTAAAAATGAACCAAAATGAACTTATCTGGTTAGACAGTTTCCACCTTTCTATCTTCTTTATCACTATGGTATAATTTATCATTAGTTGCGTCTGGCTTACTTTAGAGGTTAGTTGTCTGGAACTTACTTCCTTTTATGCTGTCTCAAAAACAGATTTCCTAAAACAGAATTAGAAAGCTCTTACTTAAGATGGTTGCAAAGATTAACCTTAATTTTGGCCAGAGTTTAATCCTGTCTGAATTTGGCTCAATGATAGGACAACAGCTGTGTTTATAAGATCAAAGTTTTATGTTAAACCACCATTAGAAGCAAAGATGCCAGCAGCATTTATTGTCTTTTACTACATAGAAATAGAAACCCAATTCATTACAGTATTATAAATGCAGTTGGTAGAAATGAATATTTCATAAATCTTTAAATCAAATTGTTTGTAAAGGCTGAGAAACTTGGTGGTCTCCTCATTACTTACCATTGTTCATGTGGATTTTATAAGCTTACATTAAGTGTTACAAGTCTCAAGGTAGAACATCCTGTCAAAAATTAGTTCAAAAGGCAAACAGCTATATAACAAAGACATAAGTTGCACAGAAATAAGCTGATCCAAGGAAATTTTCAGACAGACATCACTTGATCCTACATAAGGGCAACAATTTTTTTTTAATTAAGGTAGTTCAAAGAACAGATGAAAAGGTCAGAAAGTAGATTAAATGCTTTTGATTTTCCATGAAATCTGTGCCCAATGCATGCAAATGGAAGTGCTTACGAGTTTGAGTAATGGATATATCATAACATGTGTGTTTTTTTAGCTTTTGTGAAATGAGATCTTCAAAGCTGATACATTAATTATTTTGTGGTGTTGTTGTGATCAGGTAACAAATGGTTGCTATAAATTAAAATCATGTTAATAAAAAAGGTCTACTCACATTTTAAAGGGCATTATTTCTTTAAATGTGTAATTAGAAACAAATGTTAATTGTTTTGAAATTCTTTTCCAATGCCTGTTAAGATAACTGTTTTTGAATCAGCAAGGTGTTAAAATTAAAGAAACAGAGTGTTCTCTCCTGTCCTTTTTACTGACCACACAGTTTGATAAAGATATATTGGAACACAATGCTGCTTCTGAGGACCTGACCAAGCTCTCAGGAGGAGTGTGTGGAAATGAATAATAATTATCACTTTTATTTGGCAAATTTTATTTCAGCCCAGAGCTAAGGCTACTACTTCTATGGAATAGAAGTAAAAAAGTAAAAAAGTAAACTGAGTTTAACTTTTCGAGGTATAGAAAAACATGAAAAATAATCTAGAGCCATACTTTTTCTCTCCTAAAAACTATTAAAATCAGTCTTGGGCACAATATTGCCTCATAACTTCCCAATCTGGGACAATGTCAGGTTTTGGACAATTACAAAAAAACAGACACAAATGTGCAAACCAGATTTCAATTTCTTCTCCACTGACATGAGATTTAAAACAGCAACAGAAACATTTCTGAGTCAGTGTCAATACGCAGTCACAAATTACCAAAGTAAGAAACAAATTGGAGTGCATGGGTGTGTGATTTTGTGTTTTGGCATGGGAGAGATATTCAAATATTCACAACATGGAAGCCAAATCATAAAAATGAAATGGAACTTATAATCCCATCATTCTGAAAAAGTAGGATTTAGCTCTGACATCTTGCAGATTTGTGATATCCTGACTTTTGCTTCAACAGTCCTAAATAATACAAGTTTTAGAACATAAGTACAACTTTCTCTCTTTGATGTTTTAAGTGAAGCATCCTTAGGAAAACTTAAATTACAACAGAAATTTAGACATATTTACAAACAAACATGGAAAAATTAAAACCAGGACACACAATGTGAAATATCTCATGTTATCATCAGGAATTAGAAGTGATGACCAGTAACTAATTCCTCATAAATACTGCCTCCTGTCTTAGTATAATTTAAACATATTTCAAAGAACAAAGTTTACTAAGGAAAAAAAATCACTATACAATTTCAAAATAAACAAAATAAAGTTTAACAACAAAGTGTAAGTTGGAAAATGGTCCTGTAGCCTACATTTACGATCTAAAGAAAGAAAAAGAGGTTAGAGTTCTCACTGCTTACACAGGATAAAGTACATTTCACTCCTGAAACTAACAGGTAAAGTCAACCCTCTCATTTCTTGAGAATGTCTTATCTTACAGATCACTATATTAATTCACAAATGGAACCACCATTTTCTTCTCTTTGAGGATAATATTTCCTGTCTTTTTCGCATAACCACATACAATCATCATGAGTTATTGTTTTCCAACACAGCTTCCCCTACTGCAAGATACAGAAGTCCTACTGGGTAATCTTTTTTTTTTTTTTTTTTTTGAGATGGAGTCTCACTCTGTTGCCCAGGCTGGAGTGCAGTGGTACAACCTCAGCTCATGGCAACCTCCGCCTCCAGGGTTCAAGTGATTCTCCTGCCTTAACCTCCCGAGTAAGTGGGATTACAGGCATATGCCACAACATCTGGCTAATTTTGTTTTTGCATTTTTAGTAGAGATGGGGCTTCACCATGTTGGCCAGGCTAGTTTCAAACTTCTGACCAAAAGTGATCTGCCTGCCTCAGCCTCCGAAAGTGTTGGGATTACAGGCATGAGCCACCACACCCAGCCCTATTGGGTAATTTCATCAGACAACTTTTTTATTTTGGATAAGCCCTTATTCCAGAGAACCCATTTCTTATACACCTAAGCCCAACATATTCAGCTCCCTAATTTCCATCCCTAAATAAAACCCACCACTTCCTACACCACTTTTTTGAAGTATATGACAACCATTTTTGAATACACTGGCCTTAGGGATGACTTTATTTCTTGGATATACTGTGAAATGATAATTTTTTTTTTAGAGTCACTATTGAAAGACCTTTGGCTATCCTGATACTTTTAGGAATCCTTGCCCCATCACAGAGACTCTTAAAGAGAACCATGCCAAAATTCCCTGCTCTTTGCTTTTTCCTTTGTTAGTTCAAAATCTTCTGATAAAGGGGTACATGAAACAATTTATATCATTTGGTTATAATATCTTACTGTATTAAATAATTGACCTGGAAATTGCTATGAAATTTTTCATCTGTACTTTTAAGCATGTAAAAGTTGAACCCAAACATCTACATGATTATAAAATTTCACTGAATTCTTTAATTACCTAGAACATTCTCCTATCTCTTAAAAATATAATGTTCTTGATTTCATAAGATAATTATTTTAAGACACCTTACAAAAACTTGAGTAAAAAATATTTATTGGCATTAATTAAACATAAATCTCTAAAACCTCAAAAATAAGACTTACTCATCTCTGAAATAAATACACATCTCTAAACCGTGTGACAGACACATAGTAGGTATTTTCTTTCACCTTTATTTAATCCTTACAGCAACTCCACAAAACAATGATTTCTATTTGCATTTTGTAAGAGGAGATGAAGCTACAGAGAGGGCATTAACTTACAGGAATGGACAGTTTGTCAAAATGTATTGAATTCTATACATGACTGATAAGCAGAACCATAATTTTATATGCTTCTGTCCGTATCATGATGTATCCCAAAAATGTGATACAGCTGTCTTAGGTAATGTTGATTTTTAATGATTTTTGAGAGGGTGAATACAGTTCCATTGCCACTAGGTCCCAGCTCAAAAACATTTGAGTTTCTTGGTAAGAACAGTGAAGATTCATAAAAGAGGCTGTTAAAAAGGCATCCACTACAAGTCATTTTTCAAGGTAAGTTTTATCCCGTATTTCAGATGTTCTAAGGCTGTTAACACACCTAGTCCAAAGGAATCTGCATAAGCAGAGTTGAGGAATATAATCAATTACATATTTAAGAAACTAAAGACCATTTTTTACATTGAGTATACATACACATATATATACTCAACAACCACTTCCAGAGTACCCTAAGAGATTTTTTTCTTTTAAGATAGTGTCGCTCTGTCACACAGGCTGCAGTGCAGTGGCACGATTTTGGCTCACTACAACCTCTGCCTTCCAGGTTCAAGTGATTCTCCTACCTCAGCCTCTCAAATCATGCTTGCCTAATTTTTTTATTTGTATTTTTTTAGTAGAGATAGAGTTTCACCATGTTGGCCAGGGTGGTCTCAAACTTCTGACCTCAAGTGATCCACCCCCCTCAGCCCCCCAAAGTATTGGGATTACAGGTGTGAGCCACTGCACCTTGACTTTATTCTCTTTTGATATGTTTGTGACCCTGAGAATTAGAATTCTACACTCAAAGTATAGAAGACAGGATACACTTTGAATACTCCTTTTTTGATAAACTCAAAAGCATTACTTTTCCTTAGTCATCTCTTCTCTGGAGCCGAGCTGCTGAGTCAATATATAGTTTTATAAGACGATTAAAAAAGATATATATGTATACACACAAAGAACAGAGTAGGAAAATAATTTTTCAAACCATGAACATTTTATGTAATAAAAGCAACTGAGACATTTTCTAAAGTATACAGTATATTTGATATAAAAATAAGAAATTCTTCAAAATGTGTATTAAAAATACAAAGTTTGTGACTCTAAGGTACAGAGAAAACTTTATACTTCAGTCACCCAAAACAACAGCTTGTGGTCTCCTCCAATTACACACAGAGGGAGAGTTCGATGCCAGGAGAGGCCAGATCCAACGGGTACAGAACCCACGAGGATGGGCTATAAAATATGTGAAGAATTCAAGAAGCACAATAAGTCCCCAAAATTAATACATCAAAATGACTTTCAAAAATATGAAATGCGCTGATAAATTATCTTTGTAGCAGAAACAAAATTTAAAAATATTCTCCCTTACAGGTGAAATACACATTATTGATATGCAGCTGGAATATGGGATACAATCCATCTATGAATAACTGACACAGTCCAGACTCCATTTTGCTGTCTACACCAACCAAATAAGCAAAATTAATGTATTTAAATAAAGAAGAAAATATAAAAGTGACAGAAAAAATAAAAAGCTTCTTACATGAATATATTGGCCAAAAAACCTGTTGTCACTGGTAATGTAAACATCAAAATACACGCAAAAATCAAAAACAAATTAACCACCTTTTCTTGCAATTTAAACAGAAAACAGATACAAATGTTTTTAGTTAACAAATTACAAATTTAGACCTACGAGTGGAAAAGTCAAAAACACAATTTAGAAAAGCACATATGTTACAAAACATTTCCACGTTACCTGAGGATGTCCTAAATGATGAATTTGAAACTGGCTTGCCATTTTGCCAGGATAACCAGTGGTTGCAAACAGATTTTCACTAATTGTGGACCACCTAAGAAATAAGGAAGCATGAAAGTAAGTATCGTATCCTACAGATAACTACAAGCTTTTCTGAAGCTGGTGTTTTCTTTTTCTTCTCTTTTTTTTTTTAAAGAGACAGGGTCTTGCTCTGTCACCTAGGTTGGAGTGCAGAAGTGCTAACAAAACTCACTGTAGCCTTAAATTCCTGGGCTCAAGTGATCTTCCCACCTCAGCCTCCCTAGTAGCTGGGACTACAGGTGTGTACCATGAGGCCCAGGTAATTTTAAATTTTTTTAGTTTTTGCAAGAATGGGGTCTTGCTACCTTGCCAAGGCAGGTCTCAAACTCCTGACCTCAAGTGATCCTCCTGACTTGGTCTTCTGAAGTGCTGGGATTATAGGTGTGAGCCACAGCACCTGGCCAGAAACAGGTTTCTTTTTGTATAAAGCCAGTGATTTTAATAATCCTAAATTTGTTCATATGTCTTTATAATTAGACTGGGAATTCCAGGAAAATATTCCATAAATATTTTCTCATACTTTAAATATTTATGAAGTGCTTATTTTGTGTCACTTCATTAAGTTCCAAAGTTACACAAGGTTAATACAGTTCTTTTCTTCACAACCCAAAGGGCTAACAGTGTGGGAGACGACACAAATAAGGCATCAAATATGACAGCCATTCTGTTCCTTTTCCATGCTAAGTGAACCCCAACTTTGTTCAGGGCACAGGGTGTCTAACCCCAAGGGATGAGACACATATTAGTTTAAGGCAGTCACAGCAATCTCCCATAAAAAGAGTGGGTTCCTTCTTCTCCTTTTTTTTTTTGTTTAATTGTTCTGCAAATGGAGTAATCCTCTTATGCCTGGAACTCTCACAGCCGTCCAGTGACTATGAAGCAACAAGCCCCAAATCCTTGCCACTGAGAATAGCAGAGGGAAAGGAAGAAAAGGGTCTGTGAATTCTTGATGACACTGATGAGCTGCTAAACAAACCTGGAGACTACCTACAGACTTATAAGTACCATAGCTCATTGATTTTAAAATTGATGTATACCTGCTCATTGGTGTATACTTGTTCACATCTCTAAAGTCAGGATGTATCTTATAATCCATGGCATTCTTACATTTAGTTGAACGTATTTTATTCTCAATAATGATATCGCCAAGTTCTATAATTTTATTGGGGATATTTTAGATTTGCTGGAATGCAGCATATTTTAGATTTGCTGGAATACAGAATATGCTATATTCCAGCAAACCTAAAATATCCCCAATAACTGGTTTTAGTCTCTTATTTGGTTTGGCTCTTACTTAAAAAGCAGAAATAATAGCTTAATGACCACACTATACAATGGAGTATTATGAAAAAGAACAAGGCAGATATGTATGTTAAGTGAAAAGTAAAAACATGTTGCAGAGATATGCTATCTAGCATGATTTCATTTAACAAACAGTAAGTTTATATACATGAACATGGGCTCCCCTACATTTACATCCTTAACAGCACAGAACAATCAGGAAGCATAATATATTCCAAATTGTTGGGGTGGTAGTGGTGGAGCAGTTACATGTTTTTTTGTGTAAAGAAAATATTTAGAAAACAAATCAACTCCTTATCTAGACCAAAAGAAAAAAGCAATGACTTAATTGGGAAAGTAAAATAACCACTTATAAAACAATCAGGGGAAAAAAAATCCATTGCAAAGGAGAGAACTACACAAGTATACCAGTGGTGGCACACAACATCAAAAGATCAAATCAAAGCTCCAACAAAAACAGTATTACCTGAATAAGCAGGCTCGATCCATGTGAACAGGTCTCTTAGTTTGAGGATAACTAAAAGATAGTATTTTGCATTTTATGAATTCTGTATTAGACTCAAGAAGATGAACTTAAACTAAGATTTAAAAGATATTTTCTCTTTATAGGACAGAATGTCCAATGTGTTTAAACTATAATACATCCTAAACAAGCAATCAGTTAAAACATGGAATACAATAAAGACATGACTTAGGACCACTACAGGGAACCATTATGCAACAGGGTTGGTGTTTTTTCCTATTTTCCAATATAAGAAAACATTGCACAGATCCACAGTTTCCTCTTTTGCACTGTCCTTCTGGGTTATTCCCAGAGTAAATTTGCATAGCAAGCTTATGTTAGGTAAAAATCCATAGATCTGGCCTTGTATAGTAGAGACTTCTTTTTGCTTGACAATGTAGTCCCAGGTGTAACAGGATGGCTGAGTGGATCATTTAGCAAAGTTACTTTTCTTCTGTAATAGACAAATATAATCAAGAAAGTACCTGGACCGAGTAATATCCCAAATTAACCAATCATTTCCTGCAACAGCTCCAACTTTGAAGGTGTTTTTTAAGCACCAGTGTGCTGACATTAATGGCACTTGTTCTGATTCAAGAGATAAAATAGCCTGTTGAACCATAAGATCATAAAACCGGATTGTTCCATTCTTCTCTGCAACCATCAGCTATAAGAAAAAAAAAAAAAGGAAACTCAGTTCCTTATCTCATTAACTATACCTGAGGTGTGAGCAGATTCACTGTTATATGGTAAAATACAGGGTTGAGCATTCCTAATCCGAAAATCTGAAATGCTCCAAAAACTGAAACTTTTTGAGTGACGACAGGATGCCACAGGTGAAAAATTCCACATATAAGCACTTAACACAAACTGTTTCATGTGTGAAATTATAAAAAAAAGTTATATAAAATTATCTTCAAGTCATGTGTATAAGGTATACATGAGACATAAATGAATTTCATGTTTAGACGTGGGTCCCATTCCCAAGATATCTCATGTATATGCAAATATTACAAAATACAAAAAAATCTCAAATCTGAAACACTGCTAGTTCCAAGAATTTCAGATAAGGATACTCAACCTATATTACAAATGGAGGATCAAATGTAAAGGAAGTAAGAGGCTATGTAACAATCTCCAAAAAGTTCCCTAAGATGAAGTGAAGAGAACGAGACAGAGTCTAAGTAACTTATCAGAGATCACACAGCTAGTAAGTGGTAAAATTGGGATTTGACTGCAGGCAGTTAACTCTTAACTCACTCTTAACCGCTTCTCTGTATTCTAGGTTTCTGAGTTCAGCAGTGATAGGATGCAACTGGTATTTTATGACTCTTAGTCTAGTAGGCAAGAAGGATCAAAGAGTAAAGAGCAAAAGACTTTAGAAACAAGCTAAGGCTTGGCAAGTTAGGCATGAGAACAGAACGGGGGAGAATGCACTTTAATGAAGGGAAGAATGCTAGAGTTAGTGAAATGAAGGGAAAATTAAAAGACCTGGAATAGTTTCTGTATAGGAAAAGAAGGAATTAAAGATGATTTTAGGATTCTGAGTTTATGTGATTTAAAACAGGGACTTTCAAACATTCTGAAGTCATGGTAACATCATAAAAGAAAGGAGATGGAGTAAGGTGGAATTTTAATGATAGGTAGGAGAAAAACTAAGTTAAAGCATATGGAAGAAAGAGATAAAAAATAATGGCAAGAAATTAAGCACTAAGATGTAAGTTTGGGGACAGAAGTTGTAATAAATGTTCTCACTTGTCATGCAGGTCATAGTTTTTAAAAAGTCTATTGTTACATGTGCTGATATTAACGTTTTGGTAAAAACTGTGACTATGCTTTAATTTAAGGAGACTCACTGCTCTAGGGGAGAAATGTAGGCATAAAACAAAATTTAGGAACTGGATGCAGAAATAAACCTATCAATTTAGTAAGTTAGAACATTTCACTCATGCACATATGCAGAGTATAATTCTATAGATGAAAGGCTCAATGGGCCTGAAATAAATTTCCATGAAATCCTAGGGTTCAGAGAACACACTTACATATAGTCTGGGGATTATCTCCTCTGTGAAAGCTGTGAGAAGATTTGGTTAATCCTTCTTCATGTCATTATTCTACTTAATAGATTTTTTGATTCTAAAACTTATTATTTGTACTGCTGTGTTTACATGTTTTCCTTCCTTATGTATCAGTATACAACTTAAGAGCAGGGACTTTGTTCATTCTTTTGTTCCCTATTACAATAAAGGGTACAGTGTAGGTGAGAACCCTTGAAGTAATTCATAAATATCCGATGAAAGAAAAGTTGGCAGAGTATAAAGAGAAAGGGAATATATACTCAAAGTTGCTCAAGAGGACTCAGGAAACGCAGCTTTAAAAATCAAACTAGCAGAGTTTTAAGAAGGAGGTGATCTGCAGTGTAAAAAAACTGGCTGAAGAATAAGAATGAAGGAAAAGGCCATGGGATGTGATGAAAATATTCCTGGTACCTTCTGAGAGAGTAGTGGAGACTGACTGAGATTGCAGAGTTAGACCAAGGGATGGGAAAAGAAGAAATGAATTTAAAAGATATAAGTGATGGAGTCAAACACTTAGAAATAAAAGGTGTGATGAACATAGTTTAAAATTTAAGGGGGAGGTGGAAAAATGGAATTTTTAAGAGAGAGAACTATGGAGCTGGGCTGCATGAGTGCAAATGCCAATTCTTCCACTTACTAGCTGTGTGACCTTGGATAATTTATTTAATTTCTCTGAGCCTTAGTTTCCTTATCTGTAAAATGGGGATAATCACAGTACCTATCTCGTGTTACCAGGAGGAACATACATGAAATGCTGACTATGGGCCTGTCAGAAGTAAGCACTGTCAGAAGTAAGCATGATTACTGAAACTTATCTTCTTGTGCAAACTTGACAAAGAGATAGAGAAAAAGCATGAAGATGGCCAGATGCGGTAGCTCAGCAATTTGGGAGGCTGAGGTGGGCAGATCACTTGAGACAAGGAGGTTGAGACCAGCTTGGGCAATATGGCAAAACTCTATCTCTACAAAAAGTACAAAAATTACCCAAGTGTAGTGGTGCACACCTGTAGCCCGATACTCAGGAGGCTGAGATGGGAAGATCACCTGAGCTCAGAACATGAAGGTTGTAGTGAATGAAGAATGCTAGAGTTACTGGAAATGAAACTATCAAGCATGGCCCTAAGTTGGCCCTGCCTGATAAGTACCAGATTAAAGGTGGGCTGATTGCGCCATAGTACTCCAGCCTGGGCAACAGCCAGACTCTGTCTCAAAAAAAAAAGTGTGAAGACTTTAGAGGACTGTAGGAGCCTAAGGAACTGCCATGAACTCTAGAGAATAGATGAAGAGTTAACTTTTTAAGAAAGATGATAGTGGTAACTTCTCAGATTCCAGGGAAAGATGCAATAACTACAGTGATGGCCAGGAGAAAATACTGGCAAATGAGAATTCTTGTTTAATGGCTCCTATCTTCCCAATGAATCAGCATTAAGGCTAACTGATAATAAAAACTTGTAGTGTATTTTTAGTATTTTAGAGAGCTTTATTTTGAAAAGGAATTGGACACTACTGTAGCCAAGACAAATTTAAATTTGCCTTATGCCACTAACAGTTTTGTTAACAGACTAGGGCTCACAAGTGTGGATGATGTAAATTTTTTTTAAAAAAACTGCCTACTGGGCCAGAAAAGGTGGCTCATGCCTGTAATCCCGGCACTTAGGCCAAGGTGGGTGGATCATCTGAGCTCAAGAGTTCAAGAGCACCCTGGGTAAGATGGCGAAACCCCAGCCCTACAAAAATACAAAAAAATTAGCCAGGTGTGGTGGCACGCACCTATAGTCCCAGCTACTCAGGAGGCTGAGGTGGGAGGATTGCTTGAGACTGGGAGGCAGAGGCTGCAATGAGCCGAGATCACATCATTGCATTCCAACCTGGGTGAGAGAGTGAGACCCTGTCTATAAAAAAACAAAAACAAAAGAAAAACCAAAACAAACAAACAAACAAAAAAACCCGGCCTACTGCTACTAGATCGTTGGAACACCAGTTTTTGTACTGAAATCCACTAAAGGTCAGGAAAAATGTAGTTTGAATAAAGGCCATCTACTGATGATGGCTGCCAAACAAAAACCTTAACAATTATAGAGAAACTTTTACAGTACAGGTTTCTAGACTAATCCAAATGCATTTATGCTGATTAGTGCCTCTGAGATGGGAAAAATCATTTATTTTTCTCCTCTATATATGTGATATCTTATATCTCTATATGTCTTTTCCATCTGATAAAAGAGAGTTAATTTATACATAATTACCTTATAAGTTTCCTCAGGATGCCAGCAAACACTCATGCCAGGAGAATGAAGAACAAAATGAGATGTCTGCACTCCTTCCAAGGTCCAAATCCTAACAAAATAATAACAGTATAATGTCAATTGTTCTTCATATATCATTATTAAAAAATTAAATTTCCGTGAATTTATTCAAAGCTATTAACTACAGATTATAAGGCAGACATCTGTACTTAATGTATATCTTTTAAAGAAAATTATAATACCACTTTAAAATAATATGAAAGTAGTATGAAGAATTTAAATTTTATCATACTCAATCATGGACAAAAGAGTCACACACGTTTTCCCTCTAATTAATCCAGCACAGCAACACTGTTACATGGTAATCAAATTAAATTATTTACATATTCTTTATTTTGTGTGCAAAATCTTGAGGTGTCTAGGTCACTAATCAGGTTGTCTGACTACTTTAGTAGGCATTTCAATTGACGATAATTACTACTGGGGTGCTTATAAACACACAAGCATGCATGCACACAGAATAACCACATACAAAAAAGATAATATGAAGTTATGAAAATTTAGCAACATGGCCATCTTCCATATTGCTTATTCCTTCTACCTTTAGGATTCCAAGCCAGTGGATACTTCCTATTTATACCTTTTGTAATTTGGCTTACTTTTCCAGTTTTCTCTCCCCAAATTGGCCATAGTTGATAGCTACCCAATTAAACCTGGGTTGAAAGAACAGCCATTTGGTTCCTCCTATTCTCTCTTTCCTCAATAGTTACAAATTCATAGTAACAAGGACCAGGTTTTTCACCAACATGGCTCTCCATTTCAATTGCTTTACCACCTGCAGAAGGGGGATCAAGACTCAGAAATTTGAGTCATGGCACTAAGTTGTGAGAGTTGCTATTCTTTGCCCACTGCTCCTTCTCCATACTCAGCCACTGTTATACTGCACTGGCATGTAGCACAGAGTAGAGCCGGTGACAGAAGTTGGTGGGAGGTTGGCAAAGTGTACACAGAATTATGATCCTTAAGAATTGAACTTGACTGGGCACCATAGCTCATACCTGTAATCCCAGCACTTTGGGAGGCTGAGACAGAAGATCGCTTGAGCCCAGAGTTCAAGACTAGCCTGGCGAACACAGTGAAACTCCATCTCTACAAAACATACAAAAAATTGGCCAGGCATAGTGGCGCACACCTGTAGCCCCAGTTATTACTTGGGAGGCTGAAATGGCAGGCTGATGTGGAAGGATTGCTTGAGTACAGGAGGTAGAGGCAACAGTGTTCCACGTCTGCACCTTTGCACTAACAGCCTGAGTGACAGAGAACATATCTCAAAACACCACCACCACCACCACCACCACCAAGAACCCAACAATAAAAAAGAACTGAACTCATTCACTGGAATTTTTCTTCTAGGCTTTACAGTTTACATCTCATTAGGGACCAGAAAAACAGGTTTAACCAATTTCGGGAATTTATTTTCAATGTGTAGGCAAAAATTTCATTTCAAAGAAAGTAGAATACATATAGGACAATGCTACTATTCTGTGCCAAAACACATTACTTCAAATACTCTTCTTTGTAGAAATTATTCGGTCTCCAAATACTGAAATATCATAGTTACATATAAACTAACACAAATGGTTTTCAAAATGATTATCTTTATGATTAAACTATTTAGAAGTATACTGTTCTCTTGCCAAATCAATACTTTTCATCTGTATTTATTATATAAGGGAGACAATTACAATTTAAGAGAGGAATCACATTCCCCAAGTTTATGCAACTATGTTTCACTCCCCACGATGAATCAGGTTATTAATTATGGCAACTGATTTAGTATTTCTTCTCTATTGCCTTTTGCAAAATAAAGTACTGAGCTAGCATCTATTTTACTAATATTGAAATAGTAGAAATTTGTCTTGAAAATTCTGCAAGTCTCATGAGAGGATGGTTTAAAACTTTCATTCTTTTGATCTTATTCTAATACGTATTTGATTTTTGTTGGCTATTATATAAATTAAGTAAATACATTCCAAAATATTTTCATGATTTTTCTTTCAAATGAAGGAAACAAAAGAGGGAGAAAATATGGATAAAAATACTAGATAAAAACTGGTCAGTTAATAAAGTGTATTCCTGTCCAATGAACCAAAGTTTTACCTAATTTTTAAACAGTATTTTATCCTGAAAAGAATAAGAAATTTAAGAAAAAACACAAAACAAAAAAATCCCTGACTTAAAAATGAGGAGGGTGATCCAGGTTACTTTACAAGGGACTGGGATAAAATGATTTATAGTTTAAAGTTATATGCTTATTCAATAATTCTTAGTGGTTACACAGTCCAAGTACTAAGTATGTAAAATATACCAAATTGGGCTAAAACTAGTTATCCTAACTAAATTAGCTACAGATGGTATAATTTAAGTTTTATTTTCCTTTTTGATAGATTCCTTAATTAAGTCCTTTTCAAATCCTTTTGTGGAGCTCAGCTCATTTTTCTGTGTCTTTACTACAAAAGTCATCTAGTTAATATTACTTACATGAGACAAAGTCACTTTTTTTTTGGATGTTTGAAGTATACCATATATAATAAAAGTATACAAGCCTTAAATGTACAATTCAAAGAGAATACACTCAAAAAGAATTGTGCCTACATCAAGAAACAGTATTTCCAAGACTCCAAAAGTTGTTTTGTGCTCCCTTCCAGTCATACTTCCTTGCTCTCTCACAAAAGGTACCCACACTATCCTGACTTCAAATGGCCTTGCTTACTTTTGCCTATTTTTGAACATCATAAAAATGATGTCCATTTTCATATGTTACGTATTTTCTTGGTCTGACTTCTTTTACTCATCATTAGGTTTTGTGAGATTTACCACCATTGGTGCATGTTGTTGTAATTTGTTTTTTCTTATCGCCTTATATAGTCTTCCATTAACTTAGTACAAAACAACATATTTATTCATTCTACTGCTGATAGACGTTTAGGTTGTTTCCAATTTTTGATCATCACCAAGAATGTTGCTAGAGGCTTTCCTGCACATGTCTTTTAGTGAATATAGAAGCCCACATACAATCACATACACAAACACACCTGCTGGGTACAAACCCAGGCATGGAATTGTTAGATCACAGCTTACACATATATTCAACTTTAGCAGGTAGGTATCATCAAATAGTTTTCCAAGTTGGCTGCACATCATATTTCCTTTTCTCCTCCCATATTTAATTACAAGTAGGAAAAGCCAAAACTTTCTCCTATTTTCTGACAAAAACAGTCTTAATCACTTAATGTGAATGGCAATGGGAACAGTTTTTCAGGTGGTCTTATTTTGTAAGGTAGATTTCTCAATTCATCTTTTTTTTCTTTTTGCATTTTATTTTCATATATCTATGTATGGACAAATGTACCTAAGTTTTAAAATGTGGTAAACACAATTTACAGTAGAATCTCTCTTAACTGACTCTGGCAGTTTTTTTTTCTTTTTCCCTCTATAGAAGTGATGGGAATGAGAAGGCTATTTCCTAATATGCCCACTTGTGCATTTGTGGTATGTGTGCAAAGAGAGAATATAGCTTCTTTGCTTAGTAAATCACTGTATGTGACGTAAACCCATATTTATTAATGTAATTACATAATATTATATAAACTGACAAAATACAAATGTGAAAGAGCTATTTCAATGAAACTAAGTCAATGCAATCTAACTAAAGATAACTTTCTAAAAGGAAAATAAACCTCACTCAAATTAGGTATGTGTGACAGTTATAAAAGACTAAATAATAAAAATTATAAAAATCTAGATGTATTCTGAATTAAGACTGCTTTTCTAAGTGCTATTTTCATTAAAGACATTGTATTCTGGTCATGCTTCATGCAAAAAAAAAGTGGTCCCAAGCCAATCAATGGACTCATAACTGAAGGAAAAAAAGCATTGGCCTAATATCAAAAGACTGGCAAATGGTTTTTAATATACATGGGTTGTATATTAAAATAAAGCAGGTAGCCATTCTTTTACAACAATTTCCTGAGTTTAGTGACCTTTTGTTATCTAAGAAACTTTTGGTCTAGACCATGTCAGATGATAGGATTTCTACTATAACAAAAAAAATTCAAAATTTGAAAATTCAGGTTTTAATATTTCCAAAATCATTATTACTGAAAACTCAGTTATAACCACAGAAGCACATTTTTCAGGAAAGTGGTGCATCACAGAAAAAGAAATGCTTTAAAAGCTCACAGCCAGCTGGGCACCGTCGCTCACACCTGTAATCCCAGCACTTTGGGAGGCTGAGGCAGGCAGATCACCTGAGGTCTGGAGTGTGAGACCAGCCTGAACAATATGATGAAACCCTGTCTCTACTAAAAATATAAAAATTAGCTGGGTGTGATAGCAGGTGCCTGTAATTCCAGCTACTCAGGAGGCTGAGGAAGGAGAACAGCTTGAATCCGGGAGGCGGAGGTTGCAGTGAGCCGAGATTGAGCCACTGCACTCCAGTCTGGGCGATAGAATGAGACTCCATCTCAAAAAAAAAAAAAACCCAAAAACAAAAAACAAAACAAACAAAAAAATAAAACCCCCCACAGCCTTCATAATAAAGATAAGCATATGAAAAGATGATAGACCATTTATCAAAGCATAAAAGTATAGAATAAATGCTATCAGGTTTAATTACCTTGGGCAAAACCTAGGATCTATATTAATATACATATGTACATATTTAAATGTTTGCAAGGGAAATTTCAAATGAAAAGCTTTTATGGCAAAGCTAATGTGCTGACGAATTAGGAAGCCAATACAGACTGAATCAAGGGGCACTGGGTAAGTACAGCATCACTGCTCAAGTGAAATAAAATGACAGTTTTCATCCAATTTGAACTGTAATAATAAACATCCCCATCCCTCCCAACATTGTGGTCCTAAATAGAACTCTTAGATTTAGCTGTAAAATGATGGGATAGAGAGCTATCCAGATTATGAATTATATTTATTTTACTTTTAGTATTTTATTGCTGTAATTACCGCTTCATTTCAGGCTGGGTCCTTTTCAGCAGAACGTTAAATATCCCTACCACATGGTATTTAAAT